AATGCAGGACTGAGGTGCTGGGGGATGTCTGTGGCTGGAGGGAGCACTGACAGACTCCCGGGCACAGGCCCCACCCCCAAACGAAGCCCCGCCTCCCACACATAAGCCCCGCCGTTAAGCAGCAGGCCATGCTGCTGCTAGAAAGGATGGAAGATGGCTGTCTGACCTCCAGCAACAGCCTCCAGTGACAGGTAGGCTTAATATGCTTGTGTGTGTCTCTCTGCTAGTGAGGAAGCTTGTGTGTATGAACTCAGCAGTCTGTGTGTGTGTTTGTGTACTCAGCAGTCTGTGTGTATGTGTGTGTGTGTGTGTATGGACTCAGCAATCTGTGTGTGTGTATGAACTCAGCAGTCTGTGTGTGAGTGTGTGGACTCAGCAGTCTGTGTGTGTGTGTGTCTGTGTGTGTGTGGACTCAACAGTCTGTGTGTGTGCGTGTGTGTATGGACTCAGCAGTCTGTGTGTGTGTGTGGACTCAATGTCTGTGTGTGTGTGTGTGTGTGTGTGTGTGTGTGGACTCAGCAGTGTGGACTCAGTAGTCTGTGTGTGTGTGTGTGACTCAGCAGTCTGTGTGTGTGCCAAACTCAGTAGTTCAGGTGGCGTGGATCAGCAGTCTGCTGTGGTATGAACTCAGCAGCTCGCATATGTGGACTCAGCAGTCTGTGCGGATCTGGCGCAGTTGTGTGTGGTAGCGAACCCCGCCAGCCCTGTGTGTATTTGGACCCAGCAATCTCTGTGTGTGTGTGTATGAACTCAGCAGTCTGTGTGTGTGTATGGACTCAGCAGTCTGTGTGTGTGTGTGTATGGACTCAGCAGTCTGTGTGTGTGTGTAGACTCAGCAGTCTGTGTGTGTGTGTGTGTGTGTGTGGACTCAGCAGTGTGTGTGTGTGTGTATGAACTCAGCAGTCTGTGGGTGTGGACTCAGCACTCTGTGTGTGTGTGTGTGTATGGACTCAGCAGTCTGTGTGTGTGTATGAACTCAGCAGTCTGTGTGTGTTTGGACTCAGCAATCTCTGTGTGTGTTTGTGTGTATGAACCCAGCAGTCTGTATGTGTGTACTCAGCAGTCTGTGTGTGTGTATGGACTCAGCAGTCTGTGTGTGTTTGGACTCAGCAGTTGGTATGCGTTTGGACTCAGCAGTCTGTGTGTGTGTGTATGAACTCAGCAGTCTGTATGTGTGTACTCAGCAGTCTATGTGTGTGTATGGACTCAGCAGTCTGTGTGTGTATGGACTCAGCAGTCTGTGGGTGTGTGTGTATTAACTCAGCAGTCTGTGCGTCTGTGTGTGTGTATGAACTCAGCAGTCTGTGTGTGTGTGTGTATTAACTCAGCAGTCTGTGCGTCTGTGTGTGTATGAACTCAGCCGTCTGTCTGTGCGTGTGTATGAACTCGGCAGTCTGTGTGTGTATGGACTCAGCAGTCTGTGTGTGTGGACTTATCAGTTTGTGTGTGTGGACTCAGCAGTCTGTGTGTGTGTGTGTGTGTGTGTATGAACTCAGCAGTCTGTGTGTATGGACTCAACAGTCTGTGTGTGTGTATGAACTCAGCAGTGTGTGGGTGTGGACTCAGCAGTCTGTGTTTATGGACTCAGCAGTCTGTGTGTGTGTATGAACTCAGCAGTCTGTGGGTGTGGACTCAGCAGTCTGTGTGTGTATGGACTCAGTACTCTGTGTGTGTATGGACTCAGCAGTCTGTTTATGGACTCAGCAGTCTGTGTGTTTCGACTCAGCAGTCTGTGTGTATGGACTCAGCAGTCTGTGTGTGTGTGTGTGTGAACTCAGCAGTCTGTGCGTCTGTGTGTGTGTATGGACTCAGCAGCCTGTGTGTCTGTGTGTGTGTATGGACCCAGCAGTATGTGTGTGTGTGTGTATGGACTCAGCAGTCTGTGTGTGTATGGACTTAGCAGTCTGTATTTGTGTATGGACTCAGCAGTCTGTGTTTGTGTGTCTGTGTGTGTGTACACACACAATGCCCCCTCACTCACACAGTATGCACCCCTCATACACACTGCCCTACTCATACACACAGCACCCCATACACTGCATCACACACACTGCCGCTCACATACACACATTGTAACCCACACACACTTCCCCACACATACACACACACTGCCCCCTCACACTCATTGCCCCCTCACACACTGCACCCCTAACACTCTGCACCCCTCACATACACACACTACACCCATTGCACACAGTGCACCTTTCTCACACACTCACTGCCCCACATATACACACACTGCAACCCCCCTCCCACACACAGCACCCCTCACACACAAAGCTCCCTCACACACACAGCACTTCTTTCACACACACACAGCACTTCGTTCACACACACAGCACCTCTCTCACACACACAGCACCTCTCACACACATAGCACCTCTCACATACTACACCCTTCACACACACACACACACACACACAAACACTGCACTCTTTACACACACACGTAGAAAAAAATAGAATAGAAAATAGAAAAAATAGAATAAAGGAAAAAATGAAAATAAAATTAGAAAGAGTGACATAAATAAAAAAGGGGAGACCTTCCTTTGTTCCTTACGAAAATCGAACCAGATATCAAATATTTAGTCTCGCAGCCTCAATCATCAGTTAGAGGTAATTTCAGTTTACCTTATTGTTTTCACATTTAATTTTAAAAAGGTAAAAATAGTTTAAATATGCATAAAGTAGAAATAAAAAGATAAATTTAAGTACATATTTTTTTTTAAAAACCTCCATTATAAAAAAAGAATTCACAGTTGTGCTAAAAAGTCGAGTAACTGCGGCACCGGTGGGCGGTAAGGAAATTTTATCATAAAGCAAAATACAAAAGTGGGTGGTAGGTATTAAAAGGTTGACTACCTTAACCTTAAGCTTAACCTTAAGCTATTGTTACCAAGCGACAGAATAATTCATTATAACTAACCAGCATGTACCTAGCCTGTTGTATTAATCTAAAAACATGTGCGTACCATCTAAATGCTACCTAACAGTCAAAAACCTGTATGTTCAAATTGTCATGCTGTTGTGGCATTACTGTCATGCGCATATTACCCATGCACAAAGAAATTAAAGAATTAAAAAAAAAAAAAAGTTGACTACCCCAGCTCTAGACTCTAATTATCATCTACGGAAATGTCCTAAGTACCCCTGCCTCGAGCAAGTAATATCTAATGCTATCAGCAGGTCTGATGTTGAGGAGTTTATTGAAATGTAGTAAAGGGACCATATTTTTAAAGAGCTTTAAATTAAAATCACAGTTGAATTCGAGAACATTTCCTAAAGCTCTAGTTGTAAATAGATTTTTTCCTTAGCAGCTGCCATTATTTAACCTGGTTAAATAATGTCCCATATGGTCAATTTAAAAGGATCTGAAGAATTGAGGTTAATGGTTTTAAGGAACAAGTTACAAATCTCAAGAAGCCGTTTTTTGAAAAAAAGTATTAACGTTAATGTTTAGAAACAACTTTTAAGAAAGATCTATTGCAGAATAGAGAAGTTTTGTTTCAACCTACAGATAAGCTGTTTAATAGCAGAGAAGTCACATATGTATTTATTTTACAGATTAATGCCAAATCTCAGGCTCTAAAAAAATCTTGGAAGACATTGGATTTTAGCTTTATTTTTATTTGATAGTCTATTTTTAGAGACACTTATAGTATGAGGGATAAATTAGTAAATTTTTTATAAATGTGGATGATGCAATATCTGTAAAATGGTAGGACCCCCACTTGGGAAAATTTAGAATGGAAGATGAATACCAATACCAAGATGGAATATGAGATCCAAGGTTTGGACACTTGATAACAGTTATCTATTTCATTAGTTATCCCTGTGGTCAGCAGTATGTTGGGCAGATTAAAAGACTTGAGAGTACAATTAAGAAAGTTTTAATGAAATATTTCTAGGTTTTAGAAATCATTCCTTGTTGAAGTGTTTTTATACAGTGTATAAAAGAGACACACATAAACACCAGAGGGCGCCAAACACCATTAAACAAAGTCAATACATACCGCAATTGTCAGTATATCAATAATGATGGCGTCATATATGCAGAACAAAAAAAAGGTTGGGTGTTCTCGGTATGCAGTGGCTAGAACCTACCATAGTGTCGCAAGGAAGGACAACCGGTGAAGCAACGTCAGGATCATGGATGCCCAAGGCTCATTGATCCACATAAAGAGGGAAGGCTAGCCAGTCTGGCCCGATCACACAGATGAGTTAGTAAGTAAGAGTTAATAAGTTAGTAAGTAAGAGTTAGCTAAGATTGCTGAAAAACTTTTGCTACCCATGATGGTAAGGTGTCAGAAAAAACAATGCATTGAAGTTTGTAATGTATGAGGCTGCATAGTGCCCATGTTCACCCTTGTACACTACTGAAAGCGAAATCAAGTGGGGACGTGATTGTCACAACTGGACCATGGAGCAATGTTGCCTGGTCTGATGAATCCACATCTTCTTTTAGATCAGGTGGATGGCTGGGTGCATGTGCGTAATTTACCTGGGGAAGAGAAGGCAGCAGGATGCACTATGGGAAAAAGCAGGCCAGCAGAGGCAGTGTAATGCTTTGGGAAATGTTCTGCTGGTAAACCTTGTGTCCTGGCATTCATGTGGTACCACCTACCTAGAAATTGTT